GAGCCGTTACAGGCAGCCTGGGGGAACACCACGCTCCCCGCAGCAGGGTCCCCCAGGGTCTATCTCTGTCCATCACCACTGCTGAGCTCCCACCTGTTCTGTGACAAACTTGTTAACATCCTGGTCCTCTGGCAGGAACTCCTTCCAGCTCAGGCCCCCGTCCCGCCACAGCTTGCCTGCGGTCTTCTGGCTCTGCAGGACAGATGGACAGTCAGCACCAGCCCCCCCTGCCCTCCGTCTCTGGAGAGAGGGATACTGCGGCTTGGCCATGCCACCCCCACAACCCAGACATGGTGAGGGATACCCCCTGCCATCCCTTCTAGCAGTAGAGGGGTTCAATCCCCGCATGCCACTCTGCCCCCCCCAAGCAGGCTGCCAGTCCCCGAGGCAGCGACAGGCAGCTACACGTGCCCCTCACACTTACCATGCCCTTGCACAACAAGCCCAGCACCTCAACCAGCAGCGTGGTGGCCTTCCCAATGGGCACCAGAGGCTTCGTTATCTCCCTGCGGGGCACAAGAGCCCTGGTTGAGCTACCTGCCATCCCCAAGAGCCCCCATGGGACCCCATGGAGGGGCACAGCTCTCACCTGAACAGCTCCTCCATGGGGATGCCTTCCTCTTGCAGGATGGGGGTGATAAGTTCGGCCAGGTACAGCCAGATGTGCGGGATGTCGATCTCCATGTCTTCTGCAATCTCCAGTATCTCCCGCAGCCTGCAGGGCAGAGGGGGGCAGTTGGGATCCAGCAGCCCCCGTGCCCTCGGCTGGGAGGGACTTCGGGAGGTCTCAGTGATGTGTTCCTGCTCAAGGCAGGGCCGAATTCAAAGCCGGGCAAGCACCAGCTCGGGGCCAGGCTGCCCCGGCCCCTCACCCTTTGTAGTACTGCTCCTTGGAGAGCGTGCCCGCCTTCACCAGCTGGCACAGCAGGACCCCCATGTGCTCACGGGAGATGGTGCTCCTCTCCAGCGTGGACTCAATACCATTCTGCACAAAGATGTAGAGCGAGGAGGGGCTGCCCAGCTCCTGCACGCACTGCAGGGCCTCCTGCGGGGAAAAAGGGCGTCAGTACAACCCCACGGCCAGCCCTGACTCCCCACTTCCTCATTCAGGCACTGCCGGCACCCTGCCCTACAGTGGTACCGCCCAAGGAAGTGGATGGCGTGTTACAGAGGCCACGTGGTGCTGTGCCTGGCCACCCTCTCCTCTCACCTTCATGTCGTTGATGTGCAGGTATTCCTCTATGATTGCCTTGGATTTCTTCTCCAGCTCCTCTTCTGACAGCGCAGGCTTGGGGGATGCTGCGGGAGGTGCTGGTTCTTGCTTAACTGTGAGGAGAAAGAAAGGATCAGGCATCGCCTGGGACAGGCGGAGCCCCAGGCCGCAGCCAGACCCCAGGACCCTGCTCCTCCCCAGCTCACTGGTCTCTCGGCTTCTGTCCCGTTCCTCCGTCATGCTAGCAGCCTTGCGCACGGCCTCGGGGCCGCCCTGCTTCTCCCGTTCTCGGCTCCTGTCCTCTGTCTCTTTGCTGAAGCTCCTCTTGGTGAGGGCAGACCTGTTCCTGTCTGCCCGCTCCCCCCGGTCAGGACGCTCCAGGCGGTCGCTGCTCTTCTCTGAACGTGACTCCCGGTCCCCTCTGTCCCCAGCCTTCTCTGACCTGTCACGGCTGGAGCTGCTCCTGGGTGGGAGGAGGACAGACACAGTGTGAAGAGCTCATTGCCACCCCCCCAGCCCCAGACTGCAGAGCTCCATGAGGCAAGACTGTCCAACTCCAATCCCAGCCCTTGCCTAGCAATTGACCACCCTCAAGGGAAAACACTTTTCAGTTTCTGCTCTGTTCCCGCTTACGCACTTTGCCTTTTGCTCTGTCCCTTGGCATGGCTGAGCAGAGCATGGCCCCATCCTGCCCACACCTTCACTGTGCTGAGATCCCCCGTTGTTTTCCTATTCTCCTGAACAAACCCAACTCCAACTCTCCCTGGAGACCTTGTGCTCCAGCCTCCACAGGACTCCCTCCAGCCCATCAATGTCCATCTGGTCCCAGGATCCCCAGACCAGATCCAGCACCCAAGTGTGGTCCACCAAGTGCCCAACAGCAGGGAAGAAGCCCAGAGTGGCATCAGCCTTCTTTGCCACAAGGACCCACCACTGACTCCGAGCGCCCCCAAGGCCCCATTCTGCCACAGGGGATTTTTCCAGCCCAGACGCCATTTGCCCACGTATTGACTGACCACTGCTTGATTTGCTGGGTTCCTGCCTGGGCTGCAGACCAACACACCTACACTCAAGGCAGAGCTAGCCCCTCACCTCTGCACCACGCGGCGGGACTCCAGGCTCTCGGCAGGTGTCGACTGCTGGAGCGCTGAGAAGCGGTTCAAGGTGCTCGTGGCCGGTCGCCCTGAATCAGATGCTGGGCGTGAAAAGAGGGGAGTCTCAGAGTTCAGCACCTCCCTGGTATGGGAACTGCCAGGGGAAGGATCCCCCCCTCCCACCCTGTCCAACGGTACCCAGTCAGCCCCATGCTGCCTACCTGAATCTGCAGGCTTCGCGCCAGACCCTCCGCTGCTGCCTTTGCCCCAGCTCAGCCGCCCGCCCGGCGCAAAGAGCTGATTGTTGGAGTCAATGGATCCAGGCTGCAGGTGGAGAGACAAAGTCAGCTCTGAACCCCATGCCAAGGCAGGGTCTGGGCCAGGCAGCCGGCTCAGCTGCCCACACTGCACCCCCAGCCTCACCTTGGTGATCTTTGTTAGCCGACTGGTGTCAATGGGCCGGTTGCCCTTGCTGATGGGCACCGTGTTCCAGCCATCATCTGCGACCAGGCTCCCACGCCCACCTGGGCACAAGAGGGACAGACGTAAGGTACAGCCTGGCCACGGGCAGTGCCCAGTGGGAGCAACCCACCCCTGGCAGCCTCAGATGCCCCCGAGCCCAGGCACTCACTGCTGGAGGATGGCCCGGGGGGTCCTCTCCTCTTGTCTTTTGACATGAGCTGCTGCACTTTGATGTGTTCCCGATGCTCCTCCATCTCTGCTTCCTTGTGGATCTGGTCGATGGTTTTGGGGCCCTGGTCTCCTCGCCGAGGCACCCAGCTATTCTGCAGAGAGCAGGGAAGGAGCGAAGAGGGCGCTGAGCTGGCTGGAGAACGGAGGTGGAGACAACTCCCCCCTTCCCAGCCATCCCACCCTCAAAGCCTCAGGCCAGTCTCCTGCCTCGGCCATCACAGCTCCCCATGTGCTGTGGCAGCTTTTGGCACAAAAGGGCTCAGTTTCTGGAGCCCCCCTGCATTAAACAGCTGCCGGTTACTGTGTGCCCACTACCACTACCACACTAACCAAGGGCTGGGGGCTAGCATGGTGTCTCTGGGGCTGGCCACAGCTTACATGCCCACCTCTCCCCTCCCAGGGACGCACAGACTGCTGACATTCAGAGGACACAGGCCAGCAGCTCCATGGGACCAAGCAGGGGACAGAGGACAGTCCTCAGGCAATAGCACGCCACGTGCCTTACCCGTCTGAGGTCAATCACATCCTGCAGCATGAAACGGATTCGGGATGATGTCTTCTTCTCTTTGATGATCTTCTCCATCTGATTGAAGTACTGGTCCATCCTGGGCTATAGAGGGACAGAGTCACGGTCACATCCCTCCTAAAGGCAAGGGCAGGGCAAGGCAGGGCAGGGCAAGGGGTACCTTGGCCTTCTCAAAGTCCAAGTCCTTGCCAATGGTGGTAAGCAGGCGGCAAAGGCACTCAAGAGACTCCTCATCATGGTTTTTGAGCAGCTTCACCACGCAGTCGTGCATGATGGCCTCTGTTAACATCTTCAGTTTGAAGAGCTCTCCGATGAACTTGATGTTGCCCAGGGATCGCCGGCGGGCCTTGTCCCGTGCCTCCTCCAGCTCGTCCTTCATGCGTGCCTTCTCCTCAGGCTGCAGGGAGGGCACAGCAGGGCGGCTCAGAGCCCAGAGCCACCCCGGGGAAGCCCGCGCCAGTCCTCAGCCACAGCCTCCCACCCCAACTCACAGCACTGGCATCGTCCATCTCCTTCTGCCGCTTCTCAAAGATCTCGTCGTCGTCCTTATCCTTCTCAAACTCCTTCTGGCAGCGGTTGAGCAGCAGCTTGCGGAAGTTCACAGTCACTGTGGGCTTGTCTGTTGTGGGCACTTTGAGCTGCAGGGAGAGGTACAACCCAGGCAATGAGCGTGAGCTGTGTCTCCCCCAAAAGCTGGCCAGCTAAGGCCCAGGCACTGCTCAAAGCAGGGAAAAGCCACCCTACACCCTCATGATGCCCTGCTAAGACTCTAGATTTGGTCCTCCACACACCCCAGTTTCCCCACCCCACATAGATGGACCTGCACCCTGCTGAGCTCAGTTAAGGCTCCCGAACAAACCCCTGCCAGCTCAGCAGGAGATCCCCCCCAAGCCCCTGCTCACCCCCATAAGGCAACGGCACATGTTAGCATAGGCAACAGAGAAGTTTGGCTCTGAGATGGCCTTCTCGAAGACGAGGTCGATGACACCCTTGAGCCGCTCCTCCGTGTCGATGGACAACTCCATCACCTGCTTCATCAGCTGCTGGAACATCTGGGGTGTCAGCTTGTTGAGGATGCTGCGGACACGGCGGAGCAGTTCCTGCAAGGACAGCAGGGTCAGCGAGAGCTGGGCACGTCCCCCACTGCCCTCCCACCATCTGCCCCAGCTCCCACCTGCGTCTTGATGTTCTCAGGATCTTCCTCCTCAGAGGCACGCTTGCTGCTGGGTTTCCAGGCCTTCTCAGCTTTGTTCAGCTTGACATCCTCATTGAGGGACACAGTGGCAATGATTTTACGGGGTTCCTTCCTCTGGCTCTGCTGAGAGCGGCGGGGACCCAATCCTGAGGGCTGGCATGGGGAGAAGAAACTCAGCTCTTTGCTCTGGGACCAGCTGGGCTGGCTCCCGGGGCGTCCCCCATCCGCCTGCTCAGATCCTCAGCTCCATCATGGACATCAGTGGCCCAGACACAGCGGCTCGAAAGCTTGATCATCACGGAAAGGCAGAGGGGGACAGCATGGGTGAAACAAGGAGACACTCACCAGGCCCCGGTTGCCCATGACGGGCCGGCCGAGGTTGGCGAAGGAGGGGGTGAAGTCAGGACTGCAGTTCATGCCGCTGAGGCGGATAGGGTCAAGCGCCCGCAGCGGGGTCTTGTTGGCCTGCGAAGGTACACAGGGCTGAGGATGCCCGGGGGCAGAGGAGCGGGACGGATCCATCCCCTAGCCTCGGCGCCGGGACAAGGAACTGGAAAGAAGGCCCCAGAGGTGCCCCCACGCACCGACCCCAGGCTCAAGGCTTGTTGCAGATGCTGCAACAGGACCCTGAGCACAGCAGGTGAATCCCCGCCCTGCCTTGACAAGGCACAAAGAGGAGCCAGACCCCCACCCTTGGCACCACCCATGCTCCCCCAATTTCCAGGGCCGCACCGACCTTGTCCAGCACCACATCCGTGATCTGGGGCAGCCCCTCGGGTTTCTGCATACTGGCAAAGATGAACTGGAAGCCCAGCAGGAACTCCCGGTCATATCGCTTCTTCTCCTCAGGGTTCAGTGGCTTCCATTGCTCTGCAGTGGGGGGGGCAAGAGGGAGACCCTGATGTGACCTGTTCTGTGTCCTCCAGCCCAAGCTGTGGCTGCTCCGGGCCCACTCAGGGACCAGCAGGGTGGGACATAAACAACCACAGAGCTGCCCCAGCCTGGTGAGCCACGAGCACGACGCTGTTTGCTTAGACAGAAGGCCTGATGCCATCAGCTCCCTGCCTCCTGCCCGGACCCTTGCACTGGGGTCTCTGTCCCCCAACCCACGCCAGGCTTTGGGGACAAGATGGGAAGAGAGGGTGAGGTTTAGGACAGCTGGACCATGCCACCCCCACCCTCCCCACTGCTGGGTCCAGAGGTGGTGGCTCCCAGCGGAGGCCTGGACCAAGGCATGGCTCACCTTCCTTGTAGCGGTACTTCTGGTCGGCAGCCTTGCCCTTCTCCGGGGCCAGCTTGTCCTCTTTCTCCTCCCACGTCTCTTCCGACTCTTCGTGTGGACGGGCAGGGGCCACGTCCTCCGCTTCGCGGGCAGGGGTGGACGCGGGGGGCTTGTTCTCCGCCTCCGAGGCACTGTCGCTGATCTGAGACTGCATGGGGAGGGACGGGGACAGCTGTCACCCCATGAGCCTGGTCCTGCCCCCTCGACCCCGCACGCCGGTGTCCGCCCTCCCCTCAGATCCTCATTACCATCACGGAGCATCAGTGGCCCAGACACGATGGCACAAAGCAGAGTTCATCACAGGAGCAGACGGGACACAGGGTGACCCCCAGACACCACTGGGACACTCACCTCTTTAAAGGCATCCAGCAAATCGCCTACTGCCTCCTTCTTGTTCAGCTCCTTCATCCTTCGCTTCTTCTTTGGCACCGACACGGCGACTGGGAGGAGAGGCAGGGAGGTGAAGGACAGGAACCCTCTCAGTCCTCTGTGTACCCTGACACCAGCTCCAGGGTCACCAGTGAGGCCCCAGTAACACCAGGTGAGCTTCAGGATGGGGCCATGGGGAGCCACAGAGATGTGGTCCTGCCACCCCAGCACAGCCCCCGTTGCCAGACACACTGTGTGCCCACCTGGGCATCTGCAACCCGGTGGATCCCACACACAGACCCACCACGGCACCCCCCTCCCTAAGCGTGCACCCCAGAATACACCCCACACAGACACACCTCACACCTCTCCCCATCTGTGCATTATACCCCAATTTACCCTGTGCCTCTCAGAAGCACCCCATCCACATCTCTTCCCCAGCACAGTGCTCCCCATCCTCCTCAGGGGATCCCTGCAGACACCCACACCCCTCTGCAGGGCAGCCCTTACGGGGACACCCCCATACACACCTCTGCCCCTAGATACGTTCCCCTCCCAGGCACTCCTATACACCACCCCATACAGAGGTGCTTCCCAGAAGCACATCTGCCCAGATCACCCTCCTATAGCACCCCTGTATCACTGCACAGGGTGCTCCACATGAACATGTCCTGTGTACCAGTCTCCCCCATCCTCCCCCAGTACCCCTATGTAATGCCCAAACTCCTGTGCACGGTGCTTAATAAAAAAACAACCAACCACAAACAAACAACATCACCCCAGCACATCCCAGGGCACCCCACCTTCCCCAGGCACCCCTATATACTTGCATACCTCCATGCAGGGTGCCCCACACAACTATGGCTCCACATCTCCCCTGCCACCCCTCTGCTCGCTGCACCTGTCCCCACACAGCTGGGGACAGTCCTCAGATACAACCCCAATACACCCACCCTACACCCCTGCATAAGGCATCACACAAACCACGCATCCCTCATGGCACCCCGTACACACATCCCTCTGTACCCACCTATACTCCTGCACACAGATGCACTCCCCAGACAGCTCCCCCCCAACTTGCTGGCCACAGGCACCTTGTTCCCCCCCCCAGCACCCCCTACCCACACATCCTGGGTCACTTAACCCTGGCCCCTTCTCCAATACCCTCCCCGTACCCAGTGCCTAGCACTGTACCCCGGTGACTCCCCCACATCACCCAACACCCGC